ACTACGCTACCGTCATTCGTCACGCAGCTACCAAAGTAGGAGAAACATTCCACTATAGCTAATTCTTGACTATCGCGCATCAGCGCTGGGGTAGACGACACTCAATCTTGTAGAATCACTTGCACTTCGAAGGTACAAAGCGGGAATCGAATGAGGTTACACAACTTGAAAGTCTGTGAAGAGCGCACACATACATTCGAACATATAAACAAGGTTATCGGCTCATTCTAAATCGCATAGCTTTCCCTCAGCTGTCCATTCAATACCAACATTTTGGAGATCAATTAGTGCGTTCTCCAGTATTTCGTTTTCGACGAAATTGAACAGAAATGACGACTCAACACAGGTGGTCCAATAGGATCTGCAATTTTGTACTGAACGACGCCAACGGTAGCTCACAGCTATGTGGTCAATTTCGGTCAAATTTTCAGTTGAACTAGAACACCTTCTAGCCGTTCGAGAGTTTTGTCGAAAGTTAGTGCTAGATAAGAACAATCAATGATGCGCGCAGAACTGAAGTAGTTCATCAGCACGGTCTGTTTGCTGGGCGAGAAGAGCGAAATGGCCTCCCATAGAAAGACTTCCGATGCGCTGTTTTCCTACCGGTGCGTTAAAATCACCTGCCAGCACTATGATGTCAGAGCTGCGGCTCAGCCGAATGAGTTTGGCAAGTTTGTCGTAAAATTCGTCCTTTTGTGAAGTGGCACTGCAGTTGGTTGATGCATATACGGAAATGATGGACCAACACCTTTTGGTGTTGCTGCCCTTCCGAACACCAACTGAGCCCTAGAGTATAATTGCGCACAAACTGCTATTGACGAGTATCCACTCTATCAGTGAGTCTTCAGCTTTATTGTTTAGTACTATTTCTACACCACGTTAACCCAGTGAGTGGGCTTTATCGTCTTCTGATGTACGAAGGAAATACCTCGAAGACAGACCCAGCGCACTCGGGTGGCTTATGACACTAGAATCCTGAATTCGTGTCTCCGATACGCAGCAGACATTAATATCTAAAGACTTTATTGTACGCGCCAGACACGCTTGTTGGCCCACCTGCATCAGAATCCTCACGTTGAAGGCCCTCAGATTCAGGGGTTGACGAGGCTTCAAAATCTGCACTTTATTTACAGGAAACTAGTTACGGTGCTATTTGGTAAAGACCTTTGGCGAGTGAGGACCAAGTTGTCTGAGAGAGTGTTACGGGTCGGAAGAAGGGAGAGGATTGGATACGGAAGACAAAGAGTTAAACAAAGATTGGGATATCTGAGCAGTAGCCCACTTATCACTACCTACCCAGCTCGACGCAATGGGCAGCGCGGTTCTGATTTTCCTGCGCGACGCCCGATGCAGTATGAAATTAATTTTAGTTTGTGCTCATTCATACAAATCGAGTACTTAGCAAGTGCCATCTACATACGAAGCCAGGACCAATATTAGATGCATAGCTATATCAGTTCAATTTTTTCGCCTTGGTTAACGGGAAGTATACAGCTCAGGGCGAATTCATTCCAAACGTGTCCACGTGACGGTGCAATGAAATTGGAAATCAGCTTAGCATAATCAGTTTCGAGAAAACGAGTCGACGAGCGAACAATTGTTTTCGGATATTCCTAGTCATGCTCTTACATATTATATAATGGAAAAAATTCTTCTATAAGGTGTTTGTCTCAGCGCGTTAATGAGCACCATCTGCGATGGTTAAGTCAGGGGAAGACTGGCTGTATCTCAAGCGCGATCGTGGGGCATCTCGTCGACACCGGGCACAAGATCGAACCGGGGAAACCTTTCGATGTTGTTTATTGTATCCCACTCAATCAATCGAAGGCTGTCCCAGTTTGGACACTGGCCATGGCCGAGGCGACCGCCATTCGCTTACTAGACCCCAACCTGTGTTCAAAAGCGACTGGTGCAAGCGCTCCAATTGCCTTGGCCGGGTGTGAAAACCAAGACAGAACAGGACGTGTTACTTGATCCAAATGGGGAGAGGTCACATCACTAACACGCTAAACAATCCTACACACACACACACACACACACACACGCATACACCTTCATTTCTCTTTGTCTCCGATTAATGACCTTAAGTTGAGCCAATGGCTATCATTATGTAAGAACTTTTTCCACTATATGATATGTAAGAGCGTGACTAGGGATATCCGAAAACAACTGTTCGCTCACCGACTTGTTCTCTCAATGCTATCATGGGAATATTCAAGCTATAATCAGTTTTGTTGCAAGACAGAATTCTCTAGACCGAAATTCGTCATAAACGGAATAAATAAATGTTAAACGTTTCGATGAAAACCCACCTTTAACCTCAAATCTGGTTGGCATCCACGATCAGGAGAAGATTTGGCTGGGTGTCGAGGATATTCAAAAATGAGCACATCACCACTCGGAGTTTTTGTAGCGATAATATCGGGATTCTGAGGCATGTACCGGGCCCGGTTAACTTCACCCTCGTGATTAATTTTCATTGAGATTTCCAGTTTCCCAGAAGGGAAATAGAAACCCCCGTAATCGCCTCGTTCGCTGTCGTAGGCACTGGCATCGAATTCGGCTTGATCGTTAGGAAGATGGACAGTTACTATTAACAAATGATTCTGTTCATCTGACGTGTGTGTGCCCAGGATTAATCGATGAATCGATACATCTCCGTCAGTCCTGAGTACATGATGATTTCAAGAAAAAATAGGAACAAATCAAAAGCATACCTTTCAACTCCTGGAAGCCACTGAGCTGTCAAACTGGGCCATTCCAAACAGTGTGACATGAGCATATCGTAGAGAAACGGCGTGTTGCGTTTCCATATTTTGTACTCCTCGTTTATAACACGTTCTTCAACAATATCCTCCGAATCGGATGGATGTAGCTGCCGTAAAAAATGAATGAAATGTGACTATAGCAGAGGACATGCGAAACTGCATTACACGACAGTAGAGCTATCAGTAAACACATAACTGAGTTCCTGAAGGAAACAGTTGATCTACCATTCAAGTTCTGTTTAGACTTGAGAATTATTCCAACTAGCTTAGTATTAGAGCCTTTTTGTAGAGAAGAGAGGGTTCGTAGGCTTTATGATCATCTCGGATGCAAATTTTCCATGGGCGGTGGTTGGTATCGGGATCCATGCAGATGGTGATGTCCTCTTAGTAGAACTTCGTTGACCGAGTTTGGGTCTGGGGATACCACCTCCGGTATCACCATATTAGCCCACAATTTAAGTCGTGAGGTTCAACCCGAAGCAGGAAGACTTATTTTGACGGATTGGTGGTTGAAAATGGCAGGGTGTGACCAATTAACTGTGAGCGACGGTAGCGAAGCAGTTTATATAACTTTTCAGTGTTCAAGTGTTGTATTCTGAGTTATATATTTATCGCCGGCTTGTGACCAAGCTTGGTGCGAACGCAACAAGAATAACAACGTGGAGGTTGAGATACACAGCAAAGTATAAGTTGGTCAGACAGTTGTATGGAATAACGACAATAATAATTTGCTTGTTTTACCGTGCCGATGGGCAGGCATACGCAATACGCGACCAAGCCATCGGAGGGGATGAGGAGAACGCGAGCAGTCTGACGGCTGGTTGTTGATCGATCGGTCTAATTGTTACTGTTGTCCTGTTGTGACGTGTGACAAGACCCGCCTTCTTTGCGCTTATTGGTCCTTTCGTTGCATGGGGGTGTAGACCTGATCGATGTCAATGTGTTGGTTGACATAGTTTTTTGATGAATGCCAAGCTTCCAGAAATTCCCTTGCGGGCTTGATCGACGACTTTAGTGTTTTCGAAATCGAAGTTAGGTCCTTTCCGACGGTGGATGACGCAACTCAAGGGCATGACGCAACCTAAAAGTTTGATCAATACATCCACGGCCAGACCGGAATCTCGCTTGCTGTTCACGGATGTTGGTCTCTCCTAAAGGCGTCAGACGTCGAAGTATA